CTTGAGATTTGTCACTTAATCATTTAAACCCCCTAAAATTTAAAATATTACATACAAATCCCTTAAGATTTGTACACATATAACATTTAGACCTCTGCCATCAAATGTCTGTTAGTATATCAGTTAATAAATTATATACAAAGCTCTTAAAGTTTGTAAGTGTATAGTATTTATACCCCTTAAATTTAAAATGATATACTTAAACAAAAAATATCTCAGTCAAATATATAATATAAAATATTTTAAATTTTATAACTAAAATACATTATCTATTGTATCATTGATTGAAATAAAATTAAAAATAAATGTCAAATTTTTCTTAAAAAATCATAATTAGTACACAATTATACTATCTATTGGAACAAAACTAAAAAAATCAAGCATTGGATTTAAGTCATTCATAACGTAACATGAATTTTGCAAACCAAAATTTATATTCTATTATGTCATTTATTGAAATAAAATCAAAAATAAAAATCTATTTTTTCTTAAAAAATCATAATTAGTATATAATTATACTATCTATTGAAATAAAGCTAAAAAATAAACAAGGGGTCAAACTATAATAAACATTATTCGGATATTAAATTAATTTGAAAATAAAACCACTTTCAAAAAAAAAATTGATGAATTAAGGTGCATTAAAAGATAATTCAAAATTTAGATAAGAGATTTAACAACAAGTATATACATACATACATACATAAGTATTTATATAAGTATATGTATGGACATATGTATTAAAGTTCTTCCATAAAATTAGGAGATGTTTAATGCACCACTTTCCAAAGAAAAATGGTGCATTAAATACACATGGATTAATGGAGGGCAAAAATGTCACAAAAAAGTCAGTAAAATTCAAATAATGTATTTAGATACAAATAAGTATCAAAATTAAGGATTTAATTATCCAACATTTTTTTATGTACTTTTTTACAATTATGTCTAATTGAGTGCACCTCTATTCAATTTTTACAATTAAGTCTAATTGCGTGCACTTCTATTCAATTTTTCCATAGTACATAGAAAAAAATATTGGGTAATTAAGTCATTAATTTTGATACTTATTTGTATCTAAGTACATTATTTGAATTTTACTAATTTTTTTGTGACATTTTTGCCCTCCATTAATCCATGTGTATTTAATACACCACTTTTCTTTGAAAAGTGGTGCCTTAAACATCTCCTAGTTTATGGGAGAACTTTAATACATATATATACATGAATACAAATTTTGAAATTTAAACAAGTATATATATATATATATATATATATACACTTATATAAATACTTATGTATGTATGTGTGTATGTATATATATACTTGTTGTTAAATTTCTTATTTAAATTTTGAATTATCTTTTAATGCACCTTGATTCATGCAATTTTTTTTTTTGAAAGTGGTTTTATTTTCAAATTAATTTATTATCTGAATAGTGTAATAGTGTAACAATAAAAGTATAACAGTGTAATAGTATAACAATAACAATGTAACAAACTATTTACACAAAATATTGTACTATTACATTTTGTCAAACATATAGTTTCATATAATTTCATTCAAAATAGTCCATTTCTATTTTGAATTTGTTACCACATACATAAAACAACTGAACATTATTTTTGTTGCAGTGTATTTGTTACACTGTTATTGTTACACTATTACATTATTCAGATATTAAATTAATTTAAAAATAAAACTATTTTCCAAGAAAAAAAAACTCTTGAATCAAGGTGCATTAAATATAATTTGAAAACAAAATTACTTTCCAAAAAAAAAATACGCAAGAATCAAGGTGCATTAAAGATAATTCAAAATTTAAATAAGGGATTTAACAATAAATATATATATATATTAACAAATACACATGAATCAAGATGCATTAAATATGTATTAACAAACACGCATGAATCAAAGTGCAATAAAGATAAGAGATTTTGAATTAAATGACCCTAAAATGAACATTTATGTCTTTGTAACTCAGCTGTATATTTTTTTCCAAAATATTTTATTTTATATATTTTTTACCAAATAAATTTAATTAAGTATACCGGGTCTACTGGCTTCCAAAGAACCAAAAAATGAAGTTTTTATAGAGGGAATTTTGGCGGGCCAAAAAGAAAGTCCGCACTTATCCATTGGACTGAGACAATACAATGGACAAATCACTTTCGGGATCATTTACCCAGTCCTATCTAGCAATCATAATTGACATGGGCTTTTTTTGGGCATGGCCTGGAGACTACCATTATACAGTGTGAGAGCAGAGTCATTTGTAATTTGGGCCTGCAATAATAATGTTTGATTATTAACTCATCACACCATCTTGTTGTACAAAGTATACAACCTATAAAGACACTCTTATTGCTATATATATATTAATATCATCTTATTTAATATCACAGTTGCTTAAGAACATCAGACCTGATTGACATAGGTTAAGGGTCGGCATTGGAGTGGGTTGGGCTAACCGAGCTGATAAGACTAGATAGGGTTAATCCAGTGTGAAAAACCATGCCCCATTGTTTTTAATGGGCTACTAATAAAGGCTGGTCTAGATGGGCCTTGTATGGATCACACTTGGATTTTTGTCTTTTATTATTTGAATTAAATTACTACTTCTATTAAAATTAAAAAAATCATAAGTTTGAGAAATTAATGATTATTATTTTTAAAAATGACACGAAAATTCCAATTCTAACAAACTCTAATTATTATTCAATTAGGTAGGAGTATTTTTGGTAGTTCCAAGGCTGGTTTAAAACTCTCAACTATTGAACCAACTGATCCAACCGATACGAGTTAAAAGTTAGGCCCACAACTATATCAATTAGGCTAATGTGATCATCACATTGTTGGTCCGGATCAATCCAGGGTTTGGCCACCTTAGACTCGTTCGCAGAGGGTGTTCCATATGTCAAGTCTTAGCGTAGGGTTAAATTAGAGGCATTGATGTTTTTACTAATTCAATCCATCTGTATCGTGAATAAGGTTAAATAATTCGAAGAGTAATATTTTAATCCAAATCATATGTCACTTTGATAATGATTTAACCAAGTGGTGAGGGCATCGTTAATAAACAATTAGAAAAGGGGAAAAGTTGAAAAATTAAAAAAAGGAGCCGTCGGATGAGAAGTTACCCCTTGGAGATGTGAGCAAGGTTCATAGTGATGGTGGGTCCACTAAATCGTTAGTTCTTACTATATGTTTTTAGAGTAATATATATAGATGTAATTAAACATTAAAATATTGTTTCGAAATGATCGAAATAATCAAAACGTTTATGTTTTTAAGGCGATCGAAACAAATGATTGATTAAATTAAAATTTTAAAACATTAAGAAGTTTTTAAAATATTTTTATAATATTTTAAATTATTTCAAGATATTTCGATATATTTTCTCAATTGAAGGGGACCCGCTAGATGATGCTTATGCAATCAAACATATAGTTAATGCTTCCAATTCTCCAAAAAGAATTGGATTATGTCAGAAGGCACTATGGCCGTGGACGACATGTACACAATAATTGAGTCATTGTGTTGAGTATGAAATGGTGACATACAGAACTGTGTTTGTCTGTGAAGGTTTTGTATTTTTATTATTTTTTGTGTGTATATATATATGTATATATATTTTTTTTAATTTGATGGTGAAAAATATTCAAACTAATTTACGTGCACCTTGATTAATCGAGAATAAACTAAAAGATTAATTTTGTAATCTTGTGGGTACAGAGTAATTTGTCAAAAATATGTGGGTACTATATGCAATTTATTAGGCCCCCCGCGGCGGTTAGATTTAACTTTTGTTAGACCTCTTAAACTCAGCATTCCCAACCGGCTAAAAGTGAACACGCATCGGAATATATTAAAAATAAGGATAAATTATATTCACATATCTCTCACATTTGACTAAATGACACGAAAATTCTCTGACATTTTTAAAATTACGCAGAGATCCCTTGACGCCGTAAATAGGTGACTGACGCTAACATAAATGATAAATGATTAATTTAACCCTTTAATTTAATTTAAAATAAATATATAATAAATAAAATATATAACAAAAAATTAAATTAATAAGTCCAAAAAAAAATCTCTTCCACCCTCGACATGTCTTACCTCACCCGACCATCGCCACCACTCCTCCTCCTCCTTTCTCTCTCTCAGATTACCCAAACCCCAATCTCATTCTTTCTCTCTCTCTTTCTCACAAATCCCCCCGCCACCGTCCCCACCTACAACAAACCCCATCGCACCCAACTCTTTCAACTCAACTGCCACCATCACCACCACTCCTACCCCCCATTTTTCTCTCTCTCTCTCTCAAGGATCCCTTAAGCCCCTGCCTGCAACAAATCACAACTGCTACCACCATTCCCAACCCCCCCTCTCTCTCTCAGATCCCTCAGGCTCTCGTCCCTCCATGCAACAAACCCCGTTCCACCCAACCTCAACTGCCACGACCACTCCAAACTCACCACTCATAACCTTCTTTCTCTCTCTCAGGGCCCTGTTTCTTGCTGCATCAAATCCCATTGCACCCAACCCCATTTGTCACCACCACTCCCAACTCTTAGATCTGGTCCGTCCATATACTATCATTAGATTAGTTATGAGCTCTATCTAATATTGAAACTCATAACTAATTTAATAGTTATATTAAAATCACGTTTTTAAATCTATAAATTCAGTAATTTAGAGCCCAAATGACATGACAGTTAACTTAAATTTTTTTTTTGGTATCATATCATTTAAACTCCAATAAAAACTCTAAATAATATGCTGTCATATTATTTAAATTTTAAATTTAATCTCAAAATTTATTCAACGTATCGGTAATGCTCTAAATTAGATCCTCAAAAAAGTTGCCTACAGCATTGCTCTTACTCAAAAGTCAAAAGGTAATGTCTGACGTGGTCGTCCCATATAGGTGCATTAAATCAACGTTTTGGATTCACCCTCAGCTCCTGCCCTTTCTGTTTAACTACATTCTCCACCTTCCATTTTCACTCCTCCTCTCCACTCTTCTCTCTCTCAACCTTCTCTTCCTCACACCCACCCACACACAGTTCTCTCTCTCTCTCTCTCTCTCTCTCTCACATACACACACCAACTGATATAGACAATAACATATGTACATATACATGCATATACATATTTCACTCACACTCTCTCTGCTTTCTGTATAGGTAACCGTAATCTCTCTCTCGCTCTCCTGGTGATGCTGGGCAAACGTCGAAGGCCTCCGATGATAAGGAGGACAACTAGCATGACTGGGATCACAGTTGATATGCCTGATGTGGAGGCACCACCATCTTTGGATCATCGGGATATGATCATAGGTGATGTGAAGAAGAAGTTGGACGGACCAGATCTTGAGCGTACTATGGTGGGGCCAAGTGAGTATAATCACCGGTCGATGGCACTGTTGTCACCCAGATACCATATAAAGGGTTCAGGTGATTACTCCACAGAGACTGCTCATTTCTTGAGGACCTGTGGTCTCTGCAACCGCCGTTTGGCAACTGGTCGTGACATCTTCATGTACAGGTACTCACTCTCTCTCTCCCCAACAGTTTGAATTTCTTGGGTTTGGATTGATAATTTGATATATTCATTCAAGGGTTGCAGCTAGTATTGAATCTGTTTTATTTGTGTGTGCGGGTGTGGTGGCGGTGGTACCACCGGTTGTGTGGTGGCACGGCGTGTTTGTTGAAAAAATAGCGGGAGTAACTATTTCAAGAAGCAACTAGTCGTGTGGTATAACTGTCTATTAATAATTAAACAAGTTTGTAAGTAAATTTCCACTAAAACTCGTGACCACCCAGTTAAGTGATACATAATCACTTCCATGATAGTAAGTAAATTTTATATTTTTATTAGATGATTACACCTCGTTGTCGTAGTATAACAATTATACCTAATATTTATTTGAGTAATGCTATGTTGATCAAATTTTGAGACCAAATTAAGAGCCCAAATGACATGGCACCTGATTATTTAGAATTTTTTTTATTGAGGCCCCAATATCACGGCACCACATAAAAAAGTTCAAGTCAGCTGCTACGTGATTTAAGCTCTTAACTTGGTCCCAAAATTTAATCAGTGTAAAATTACTATATTTATTTATGTTTGTAGGGATACCAGTGGTAGACCACTAATTTGTTCTTTTAAATATGTTATTTGAATTGGCCTAACTCGTTATAACTTTTGGATTGACGGTGAATTTCATTAAACAATTAAATTTGGTATTAATTTACTAATTCTAATAAAGCCACATTATTAAATTCATAATTTATGTCAGATTTTTAGAACCGACTAACATTACTCTTAAAATATTGACATAATGGTGTGGTTAGTGACATGATCCAATTGTGTTATTATGACCGTAATTCTTAAATTTTTTTATTGAGATTCTATCACTTAATACATTGTTATATTAATAAATTAGGTCAATATTTTAGATTGTAATAGCTTTACTTTTAAAGTATTGTGATTGATCATGATATCGCGAATAGCAATGCTATACGCACTTAATTCAAGGATTTAATCAGAGACTTAATTTAATATAATTATTGAAGTAATTGTAAGTTCCATTTAATTGAATTAGGTCCCAATAACATTTTTTCATTGTGAAATTTTTTGACTTCAATCAATTATGACAATAATTTGCAAATTAGGTCAAAGTAAAATTACTAATTGTAAAACATTCTTTTTTGATAATTAAGTTTTTGCTTTCTTTTTTTGAATATTGTCAGGGGGGACACTGCATTTTGTAGCCTAGAGTGTAGGGAACAACAAATGAAGCAAGAGGAGAGAAAAGAGAAGTGCAGGGTGGCTGCTCTAAAGAAAGCTGAAAGCCAAAACAAATGATCGCTTGTTGTCGCTCTCTCCTTGATTGAAATTTTATCATACAATACATGTTAGAGCCATGCAAGCCCCAATTCAAAGCAAGCAATATCATATATTGCGGGTCGAGGGCCGGCTCAATAAAATTTGGGGCTCTAAGGGAAAATTTTTAGCGGGGGCTTTTACAAACTTATTATAAACATATATGCTATTTTATGGCTGTGCCATTTTTTCAACGAAGAAAGAGGGTTTATACTATTTTATGATTATGCTATTTTTCAATGCGTTATGAACTTAAAATCATATGAATGAAAGAGATTAAGAGTGTAAGTGAGAGAGAAAAGTAAAAAATNTCAAAGTAAAATTACTAATTGTAAAATATTCTTTTTTGATAATTAAGTTTTTGCTTTCTTTTTTTGAATATTGTCAGGGGGGACACTGCATTTTGTAGCCTAGAGTGTAGGGAACAACAAATGAAGCAAGACGAGAGAAAAGAGAAGTGCAGGGTGGCTGCTCTAAAGAAAGCTGAAAGCCAAAACAAATGATCGCTTGTTGTCGCTCTCTCCTTGATTGAAATTTTATCATACAATACATGTTAGAGCCATGCAAGCCCCAATTCAAAGCAAGCAATATCATATATTGCGGGTCGAGGGCCGGCTCAATAAAATTTGGGGCTCTAAGGGAAAATTTTAAGCGGGGGCTTTTACAAACTTATTATAAACATATATGCTATTTTATGGCTGTGCCATTTTTTCAACGAAGAAAGAGGGTTTATACTATTTTATGATTATGCTATTTTTCAATGCGTTATGAACTTAAAATCATATGAATGAAAGAGATTAAGAGTGTAAGTGAGAGAGAAAAGTAAAAAATACGTTGTAATAACTATTTTAAGTGAGAGAGTCTTAATTGTAAGTGAGAGATTAAGAGTGTAAGTGAATGTATGGCCTATTTGTTGTAGACAAGAAGAGAGTGATGACCGTTCTTTGTTATTAAGACTCAATTGGAATAACTATTTTATTGTAGTTATTAGATTAACAATAATTTCAACACGAAATAAAGTCTATTAACAATTCAAAGGGCATAATACATTAGTTTTTAAATGAGGTGGTTAAATTAAGTACTAATACTATTATTGTTATTCACATAATATTTCTTTTTTTATTTTTTCCTGATAGTGAAATTTTATTAAGAAGTTGCTATATACGTGATGGCTACTGTCTACCATATTTCTTTACAAACCCATTCCATCTTCAAACCCTAAATAGGATGGTCCCCTATTTTTGAAAGAAATCACTTTCAACTCTATTCCACACACTCCATCACCATTAATAGAGGGGTAATTTTACTGTACGTACCTAAAAAATTATTCGGTATCATACTAAAAGTCATTATTTTTTGAAGTCAAGTGTTACCTTTAAATGGTAAAATTATAACTGGTTGAGATAAATTGTATAATCAGTCATGAAATGTTATGATTAATCTGTTGTTTCTGGTATCGAAATAATGTAAAGTCATTTATTGAAATTTTTGATTTAAACCATGTAAAGAGTTACACATAAACGAGTTATTCTATCGAAACAATAACAGTAAAGAGTTACACAAAAACAAAAGAGTTACATGTAACTTTTTGCCAAATTAATATAAATACTAATCCGGTTGCAGAACAGGAACTGTTATTAAAGTTGATGTAAATTAAGGCTAGTGTTTGACACTATGTCCTTAAGACAGATTTCGCCCCCATATACGGTGTTTATGGAATACCGAGTGTCTGCATCCCAGAATACAATGATCTTTACACGAGCAAAAATGGTACTCTAATCTACTCGTCCAACGAACCAAAATTTGTGTTGTGTACTCTCCAAGACACTGTCTTAATGCTGATATGCAGACAGTAATGCATTAATGTTTGCCTTAATGTCGAAAATGGATTGAACAAATGAATTGATGCAAAATGGCAATGAGCCTGAGTATTTATAGACAATTTGGTAACTTTCTGGACAGCCACTGTATTAAAAGACACAACCCAAAAAAACAAATGTCAGCCAGAAGACAAATGTTGATTTGAGCAATTAAATATATAAAATTATTCTCCTCACGGAATAAAATATGAATTCACGAAATTTTTTTCAAAATAACAATCGTCGACCAAAATTCAATTTTTTACACTTAAAAAATATGTTTTAGTCTAACATAATCATGAATACTCGTGATCAGTTGTACCTTCACTTTTAACGTGTGTAATTTGCACTATTATGACATCTCGTATTTTCTGGTGGAATATGAACAATTGATAAGCCGATCTTAGAATGAAAAATCATCTATTACAATGAAGATTCGATAATCCATTTATGCAGAAGGAAAAACACCCAAAGAGGATATGAGAGAAGCCCGAAAAGGGATAGAATCAATCACTGTTTCTGAAAATAAATTGACTAAGTATATATGGTAGCACTAATATGGTGTTTATTTTGTGTTTACTAAGATTAGATGGATTGAGTAATGCCTTGGACATTATCTAGCCTCACTCTACACTATTAGATTTCTACCATTGAACAAATTGATTGAATCAGATCAAAACCAACTTTTAAACTATCAAGCCGAGTTGAATTTAGTATATTGTAAATTGATCCAATTATATAAATGGTTTTACCACACTTTAATCCAATAGTCACCCGTGATACTCCCAAACGATATCAAACATCGCCCAAGGATAATTTCCCTTCTTGATTCTTTTTGGATGCCTTTTCCTCTACTCATAGTATATACTCTATAGGATGATTGTAATATTGATACATCTCTACATCTAATGGAAAGATTTGTCGTAAAAGTGATAGATTGTTGAATATTTGGGGAAAAAATAAAGAAAGAAAACGTAGAAATGGTTTCGACTCTTTTTTTTTTTTAATTTTAAATGTCATATTTATACGTTACATTTATATAAATTCAAACCCAATGAAATTGTAGGTTTCTCCTTCCTGAAACAAATGACAAGGACTACTTCATTTTCTAAACATTTGGTCCACCAAATAAAGACTCAGAGAGATTCATTCGGTGTTTCTTGTTGATTGTTATGGGTAGGTGTGTTACAATGGTCACCAAGAAGAAAAGTACATTCATCTTTTTTCACTTTGGACCCCCACGGTGCTTTGATTGATTTTGATATTCACTTTATATATATATATTTTTTTTGGAAAAAAATATTTAATTTCAAGTAATGGATATGACACCCAATAGTTCCATTTTAATGCATTATTCCAATAACCCCACACAAAAATGAAAGGAAACCGAGTGATTCAGTTATGTCTGATTCATTTTCGGATTTTGAAGATGAGTACTTTCAACATGTAGACTCTATGTTGAATTCCTATTTCGATGTGTTACAATTTAGGCATTGATCGATCTTTATGTTTAACACCGCAAAGACAGAGAAATATTGTTTTTTTTCAACTTCAAAGTGTTTAGAAATGAGCAATTTATCATCGGGTGTACCTATTAACACGACCGAAATAATTTAAATTTACCTTTGTCTAAGGTGCATTATGAACATGTTTAATATTTTTGAAATGCCTTTAGTATTCAATACACTTAACATGTAATATACTATTTTCTGTAATTTTTACAATTTATAGCATAACATTATTTTTAGTTAGAAATGGGGTAAATTACACTCATATATCCTGAAGTTTTCATTTAATCACATTGACTCCGTAAGTTTAAAATATTACACTAAGAACCATTGTTAGTAGGGTTGGCAATTTTAGACACGACTCGTGAAACCGACACGAACCCGACACGGATTTAGCAGGTTTCAGTGTAGTCTTAATGGGTTCGAATGATTGACGGGTTAACTCGACAAATCCGTGAAATAAACGAACCGGTTTCATGTTTAGCTCATAAACTCGTTTCAACCCGTTAAGAGTGGACAATAAATTTTTAAAAAACATGTTAAGTCTCTCAGTTTCGGTTTCATCTCACACCTCTCATCTCTCAGAATTATTCAAATTTAGTAGTCATTTAATGTTTATTTTTTTGTTCAGTCATGTTTTATTGTTATAGTAAATAGGTTAAACATGTGTAATATGTGGCGAGTAAATGATTTTTCATGTAGACTTGAAATTATCTAACCTATTCTCTTATTTAGCGGGTGACACATGGGTAATATTGGATAACTCGTTTAATAAACGATTCGTGTATGAGTGTAATAGTTAGACTCATTTATATAAACGAATAGGGTATGGATAAAAGATTTTTTGACACAAACTCATTCCACCCGACATGAAATCGTTTCACTCGACACGATTGCCAAACCTAGTTGTTAGTGACAATTGAATAAAGAGCTACCAAAACTAAGTAAAAAGCCAAAATGCCCCAAATAAAAGTAGAAGATATTGGACTAATTACACTATGTCTCCTTGGAGATTGTCACTTAATCACTTAATTCTTTTATATTTGGGATATTATATTTAGACCCCTAAAGTTTGTGCACATATAATACTAGACTCCTGTTTTTAGTGTCAATTCTATAACCACTAGAGTTTGATGATGTCATTAGAATTCGCAAACATGCCAATATTTGTGTTGTTTAGGGTTTTTTCTTTTTGAAAAAAAATTGAATTTTATTTGATTTTATTCCAATAGACTTTATAATAGAGTACAAATGAGTATTGATTTCAGTTCTCTGATATATTTATATCAATTATAGATTTCTCCTAAGAAAAATTGGAATTTTGTTTGGTCTTGTAGTTTTATTTCAATGAATGTTATAATAAAACATGAAAAGTTGTCTCAATTAGGCTTTTTTTTTTTTTTGATACTCTCAATTAGGCTTATTTGACATATTTGTACTAAGTAAGATTTTGTTCTAAAAATATTTTGGTTTTTAGGTTTTACTTCAATAAATGGTAGAATATAACATGAATGTGTTGAAGAATGTAAAATAGTTTATATTTTGTATTGATTATGATTTTTTTTTGGCTGAGAAATTAGTTTTTTTACGCTGAGAAATTAGTTTCTTTAATTGTAATATACGACGTAATACAACCAGAATGATTGTAGAGTCTACGTAATATTTTATTCTTGATATTTTATAGTTTGATGAGAGAAAGGGATTTTGTTGGCATTGTGTCTTTCATTTATTGTAAAGATGTATTTGATGTTTTTTTTGAATGCATGCATAGGAGTATATCATCTTTGGAATGAAATGTAATTAATAAGGATGTAAAAATGTTGACACTTGGTCCTCTCAATGCAAGTATATATTGTATTTATCCATAAAAAGTAATACTTAATTTGTTAAAAAAGCAATTTACAAATAGAAAGAAAACAATCACTGTCATTTTCATATGCCAAATGTGGTATTTTATATACCCATTTTCCAACTTCAACAGCCTAAATGAGGTTTGCAATGGTAAGCAACTGATAATATGCCCCCTAAAAGAAAGGGTAATATTGGAATTATATTGTTATTTTCAGCTGACATTATGAAATTCTAACGAATCTACTATCAAACACTGGACACAGGTGCCAAAGGTCTCTTTTTACACGGGCACAAACTATAGGGGTCAGAGTTTAATATTTCAAATATAAGGGAATTTACGTGATTAAGTGACAAATATTAGAGATTTAAATATAATTTACTAATAAAAACCTGACATTGGACCCATTAGAAGAAAATGGTACAATTAAATCATGTTATGATGACATCATGAAATTCTAATGAATATATTAACGGACACTATCGACAAGAGTTTAAGTAAACCTTAAGAGGTCTACATGTAATATTTCAAATATTAGGGATCTATGTTATCAAGTGACAAACCTCAGGGTGATCAAGTATAATTTACCTTTATTTTTATTAATGTGGTTGGTCCAACAAATTGATCTAATTATTTTCCAGTTGATGTTTATTTTTTTGGTTGGTATTATAAATTGCATTGACTAATTTGTCCTTTTATATTTAAAATTTTAAATTACAATTATATTCCTCTATACTTAAATAACAAACTAATTTCTAACATATCATGTAAATCTCTATCTTTGCAAAATTTTTAAATAGTCATCTCTTAATAGGATATATAAAAAATATTATTCTTTATATTTAGATAGTCATCTTGATAATTTTATTGATACAATATTATATCCGGTGTCAAAAAATCGATATATGTATCTTTTTCATTTTGTCCACGATATAAATAATTTAAATATGAGATAATATCTAATTTAACTATACAATTAAATTTTTATGTATTTTATCAAATATCTTAACGAAAACTTTCACATGTAATGCACGTGTTGCATTGATAGTGTGTGTGTATATATGTGTGGTATATATTTTCATTATTACAAGTAGGGGGTGAATGCGGCTGGGAAGAATTGAACCTTTAACCTTTAAATCAATAGTGAGGAGCACATCCATGGGAAAGAACTAAAGCCCTTTGTTGATGTTCGAACCGGTTTAATAACGTAGTGTGCCAATTGGGCCGCATAACCTTTCAAATACAGCCATGGGCAGAGCCATGTGTGGCCCCAGGGGTCGTTGCCCACTCAAGTTTCAAAAATTATGTTTATACCCTTGAAATAATGTTAACTATCTCATTAAGTCTTTTGATTTTTATAGAACTCAAGTTTTCTAAAATAGGGAAAATTTCAGCCACTCTTTCTAGTTTATAATATCTTTAAGGACGTGTCTTCTTTTTTTTAATATTCACTGACTCTCTTATCAAATTAGTGAAATTAATTATAATGTAATTTTACTAAATTATCAATAATATATAGCGAGTGACTTCCGATAAGATACAAGTCTGACTATCAGAGAAAGATCTTTGAAGCCGTCCTAAGAGTTTTAGAAATTTGGGCAACATTTTGACTAGCCTATACAACAACACTTAGCTACAATAATGTACCCCTTGGTAACGTTTCTTAAATAATAATTTTTACATAAAATTATTATAAAAAAACATTTCTAATACTATTTTATAAAAGGGATCTTGATGCATCATATGTGTGTGTCGGTTTTTTTTTCACAAACTACAAAAGTTTATGTTTATCCCATCTAATACATCCGAATTTGTCACCTGTGTTTTTTTTTGGAAGAGGAGAGAGAGAATGTTTGAACACGCAACCACTTGCGAGCGAAGAGTAAGACATAGACAACTCCCTCACCTCATCATCCATTACATGACACATAGTTAGAATGTTCAGAAAAACTGATGCATCAAAGAATTATGGAAACACAAGACATCAACACAAACAAAAAAATAAATAAAAAAATGGCCATTTCCAACACAATTTACCACTCTTTTATGATATATATCTATCTTTTACATAAAAAAGGCTGCTTGCTCTAACTGAGCCAAAGCAACCGGAATACAGTGGTAATCACTAACCAAGAAACCAAAGAAAATGAAAAAACAAAGGCATTACAGCAACAATAGACTTACAAAGTCTTTTTTTTTTTTTTTTCACAACCACATAAAATTTATTAATTTCTAACCAACAGAATTACAAGAAGCAAAGCTTTACAAATCAAAAGGAAAAAACCACAATGGCTTTAATCCTTCAAAACAACCAAACAAAATACACAACTGATACAAGAAACAAGCCTCACACTAAGTCAATTCCCCACAGATATTAAATTTTCAAACACATCAGCACATACGTTTATACCAGATGAAAAAGGGAAGTAGAAAGGGTCCCCCCCATATTTGGTGGAACCAATCTTCCATAAGAGTCTTGATATGATTCTTTACTTGTATTCCAAAATCATGTTGTTCTCCGGAGCCAATCCAACACAAGCCCTCAATATGTTCTCGAGCATTGCCCGCTGCTTTGATAGCGCATTCACCACCGGGGTACCTGGTGGTACCTGCATTTTTTCAGCAAGCACACAGTTAAATAACAATTACTCGTCTATTAACCAAGAGTAGTCTCAATGCCCATTAATTGATCATAACGATATGGTTAGACTACAAGGCTTCTTAAGCAGCAGCTGACTGCTAGTTGTTTCTATATCGTGTACTACTGTGAATACTCCGGATCTAGGCAAGGTGAAGGGGGAAACTGTACATTAACATACACAATTAAGAATAACAATAGGCCTTAAGGCATTCTGTTTGGGGGGGGGGGGGGTTAAAGCCTTGGGGCTTTTCTATTTGTGTTCCTGTGAATCAGATTCGAGTATATTCCAGAGAAAAAGATATTGAAGCATTTTGAGGTCACCCCAGGACCCCACTAGTTTTGAGCATCATTATTGAGACCATAAAATAAAGTCACGTTAACCAAGAGGAGGTCCCTCTTTCTATCTTCTCTCACATGGTATGGTCAATTTCCCCACCAATAATTCATGAAATGGGGGAGATGTATCCTGCCCTTGATTCACTTTGTACTTGTATTCATGTAGAGGAGGACCTGAACTTAATAATGAATTACAAAGGGTAAGACATCGAAAGCTAATTTTCGATATTGTATCAAAGAGTATCGGACCAAGTATTGACTGAAACAGGTCAATTTGCATTCTAATGAACACTATTGAGTTGTACCTTGAACCAATTGAACCCCAACTTTCTCATTTTTCGGTAAGAAGTTGATATCATAATCTTATGCTACAAATGGAGGAAAGAATTATCCAGAAGACTAACCAGAGGGGCCTTAGTGAGGTAGCTGAGGATTGTAGCCACAGGATGAAAAGAGTGGAATTTACCCTGCAAAATTTAGACCATGAAGAACAACAAGTTAAAACCAAAACATGAACATTAAAGCACATAAATAATTGCAGGGCACAAGTTGATGTTATAACCACACAGACCTCTTGCTCAGATTTAAGTTGAATGCGAGTGCTGAGTTCAGCAAGGAGAACCAAGTCCAAGATGATTGGAGCAGCTAAAAGAGAGTCCTCGCACGTGTTGTGCAAAACTATGGTGTTTTTACCACCCATGAATATCTCTGATGTGTACTCATCCATAGCCCTCTTGCTATCAGCCACATATGGCACATACTGCACCACATAAACGCCCACCAAGCATAAGATGAGACTAACGTGAACAAAAAAATCATACCATAAACTTATGGCGCAAAATAACCAAACTGAGCCATTGCTGGTGACTTTTCAGGCTCACTTGTTCATTTTTAAAGAGACAACTGCTCGGTTTGGCTCGTTGAACGAATGTTGCTCAGGTCTAAACTCAAATACAAACCCATGTTCAAGATCAACATTAATCTGTATATGTTAGTAAAACATGTAGCATATACATTTAACTGGATACATTTTATGTATATCCCCTAACTTGGGCTCGACTTGTTTATTAAACAAATTTTAAAGATGAGTTCGAGGTCAGTTTGTTATATAATGAACAAGTTCAAACCAACTTTAATCGAAATTTACCCCAAGTTGATCATGAACATTTGGTATTTTTTTTTGCACTGCTACCATGGAAACACTTCAAATACATTGTCTATACATGTACATACTTGTACAAACATGTGTACATAGAATTATACCTTGATAACAACCACATGATCAGGGTGCTCGCCAGGCTCATAGAGGATGCCATTGCTGGAGACCATGTCGTCCACCACATTGCTTTTAGAGATCTCCTTGGACCGGAAGGTTTGTGGAGCAGATAGATTCATTCCGTCATTGTTTCCAAGATGGTTGTAGCTCACAATCGATGTTGGCTGCCACGTATCACAACCCATCAGTATTATTTAACACTCCCAAAAGTCCAATAGTTACCATCTTTGAGAAATGAACCACAACAATTTCATATATCTCAATGCTCCAAACCCTTATTATAAGATATTATCCATTTCGATTAGACTAACATGGCTCTACAGCCATGTTATTTAAGTGGCCCAATGCACAAGGCTCATGCTACTGCACCATCTAGGAGCCTTATCCCGTATGTAGTGACACTATTATCGTGAGCAGCGTTGTATATTGAAAGTCCAATTCCCATAATTATCAAGCATTTCCCACACAATTCACCAAGTAAATAATGAAGAAACAAATTAAAATCAAAGAAATTGAATACCTTGATACCAGCCCCCACAAGAAAATCAACAAGCACAGATTTCATTTTGGTCTGACCACTCTTAAAGTCATCTCCGCCAATCAAACTGTTTCCCTTTATGGCCAAATCAATCAGCCCTGAATGTATTAGAAACAAAAATTAAGTTAAAATCAAAAGTTTCTTTATGGGTTTTTAAGTCTAACATGTTCTTGACCGAGCAATCAGTCAATTAGTAAGCTTTAACAACCTGGAACAAAAGTGTTCTGTGGGCTTCCATTGATAAAAGGCACGTTTTCAAGAACACAAGCTATGGCATACAAGGTGGAAGGAGAGATCTCAGCTTCGTTCTTCTCCAAAGAACCCAAGAGGTTCTCCACAGTGTCGTTTAGTCCAACAATTACATCACTGTATCTCTCTGTGTTAGCAGTCCACAGAACCACTACCTTATCTACCTTATTTGCCTCCTTAAACTCCCTATTTGGAACACATAGACACATTTGCAACAACAAAACAATCAGTCTTCACCATTTCTAGGCAAAAATTAGCAACAAAACTTTAATGGGTACAGACAAATTAGGATTCAGTTTATGATTAATTACCTAATATCTTTAATGACTTGTTGGACTTGCTCTTTCTTGGTTCCTTTGATCAAGTTGTTGGCACGTGACCCTTGGTTGGCTGCAATGAAATCAGGGTCATAGATTCCAGGGAGTGGGACCATGGATTCCATGTAGGGCCTCAGCTGCTTCTGCAGATCAATATCAAATACCCTAGCCCTGGCCATGGCATCTGCCAAGTTCATGTTGCTTATGTCCCAACCCCCAAACACAATGTCATCTGGGTGCACCTGTTTAGTCATACAGAAAAATTAACAAGTTGAAACAAAATTCACGGAAAGGAACGACGACGGTACCTTGTTCCATACTATATAAAAAAATTATTACAAAATGAAGATCAGACAGTTACAAAACCAAAAGTGAAGTTACCCTTTGAAAAATTAAGATCAATCTTAAAGAATTGAGATCGATTCTATGAAGTCCAGTTATCATAACATTAGTAAATTAAGTCGCAATCTCATTCTTTAATGCATAAGAATTTTTAAATGTTACAAAACATAACTTTTTGGTACTGTAGATTCAATGTTATACAGAGATATAAAACACTATGTACATACGTATATGTATAGTAGAGGGGTTGTACCATGGGGAGCAAGCTCTTGAATGGGGCATAGATTTCCTCTCCGTTGAAGGACCCAACTCGGATTGTAGAGGCCTGGGTGAGTGAACCAAAATAGTTGGCTTGTTGCACCTTGTCTTTGGTTGCCCAAGAGATTCCTCTGCCAAAATTTCCAGACCCATATCTAAAAATTTTTAAAAATTTAAAAAAAAAAAAAAAACTTTTTCTAATAAAGAAATGCTAAATAGCATCTTCATACAGTGTCTGTCACATAATGATAATACTCCTCTGTCAAATCAAAAAACCCATATCTCAAAATTTGTAAAAATTTCCATTAGAACTTTTTCTTGAATAAACAAACATTTAAACAACCTTTTTCACACCATGTCAACAAATCTTACCAACCAACATAACAAAAGAACACATAATGTCATTTTATGAGATCAAAAGTGCAATTTATTAAAAGGAAAGGGAGAAACTCACTCTCGATTTGCAATAACACCACCAGTCAGTGTAGAGCCGTTGTTCCCTCCCCACCCAACAAGCATAACCCTACCACACAATCATAGGATTACTCGAAAATTACGAAAATCAACACATCATAGAATACCCAGAGAAATATTTCAAAACAGGTAGAGAAAAACAAATCTATTTTCCCCTTTATTTTTTGAGTTAAGTTGAAATTAGAGGGTGGGTTTAGAGACAAACCCTAGCTTGGGGACATGGGTATCAGTTTTGAACTCGTATTTGACAGTCTTGGGCTTGACAATCCACTGGTAAGTACCATTTCTGTTCTCATGAACAAGCTCTGTGGTCTCATAGTCGTACACAGAGTGAATCTCATTCTCCGTGTACTTAACATTGGGACTGTCAACTTTAAAGCTCTCAATGAACATCTTTCACTCAGCAAATGCAGATCTAACACAGACCAGAGAGAGAGGAGAGAGAAGTGGAAAGAGCTGAAGCACAAGTGGACCTCCCTCCGTGAATAACTACCAAGGATGTGGTGTGATCTCTCATTTCGCAACCGAGTGGCTGTATATATAGCGGAAGTATTGGCTTTGTGGAAAAACACGTGGCGATGAGCTAGTGGTGTGACGCCACTTTGTCCCATTATAAATTTTTTTTAGGGTCGTTGTCCCATTATAATTGGCTGTACGTATAAAGCGAAGCTTAGCCATGCAAATATGTGAAGAATGGTGTTGAGATTCTACCAATTTTATTCTATACGTTGTTATAATTGGTGTCGAAGAAACGATAAAATATAAAATTTTAATATTTAAAAAATTAATTCTATTATATAAAATTTAAAATTAATTTTTACCTATTACTTTCTTAAAAATAAAATCAAATTTTTTTTAAAATACATAATTTGACAAATTTTTTTCAATATATATACACTATCGTGTATGAATAATATATAAAATAAAAGTTGTGTTAAATTATAAATTAACTAATTATTAAATGATTGAACATGTAATATAATTAGGTAATGTGATGTTTGTTGGAGGAAAATGTATAAGGAATAAAGATTCAACTTGTTAGTTATTTTATTATATAAATTTTATTGAATTTGTGTCGGGTTAGGTCCGTGCTATATTTGATCAATTGATGTATTTATTTTTATTTGATGACTTGGAGTTACGATCTTGTAAGTCGATTTTTAGGCATAAGTTTTATCTATAGATTCATAATAATTGGTATTAAAACTAGCTACCCATGACCTCATCGAAGGTGTATATTCAGTCCATCTATAATTCTGCCCTACAATACCGTTTGCTTACACCGGCTGAATCACATGGTTGGTTAAAGAAAAAAAAAATTGAACTCTTATTTATCTCCTTAACAAATTCGACTCTTATTTCTCGTTAAAGGCCCTATTATAACCTATAAATATACGTACTCGCTAAGACTCCTTAGTCAAATCAAAAATCTCCATTTAAAGGGAAAGTAGTTAAGACCACTCATTGCAGAGGAGTTTCGATCGGTGGATTTTGGGATGTTATAAAATGGTATGAGAGCTTCGAAATTAAATCTTACATGGAAGCTATAAATTGTGGGTTGGCTAATAAAAGGATTATTGTCGTCTTCATGTGCCTTTGCGGTTTTTGTAATCTTATCTTAATCCAATTAATTACATGACAGAACAATCACGTCTAAATATAACAGAAATCAAACACATGTAATATTCAATAAAAAATAATTAAAACGTAAAAATGAACTACACATAAGAAGAGCAAGACGAAGAACCCCCTTCAATAACAATAAGGCACACTTGACAAAGAAAACACTATATGATGAAGTGGTGGAGGATGACAAGACCAAGTGAAAGGTATTTTTCTTAAGTCTTCATATAATTCTTTCAATTAATCGGCCCATAAAAAATGTGAGTTTTGAATTTGATTTGTTTAAAGTCTTAATTCAGATTCGTATTTGTTAATAATCCAATATTCGATTCGATCTAAAAATTTAAATTCCAACAAAATTTTATAAAAACTTAATAATTTTTGCAAATTTAAGTTAACTTTAATCTAATTTAATCAACTAAACATTTTATGACAAAAAAATTCACTCAATTGACAAGCCTAACCACGTGCAACAACATTCTCATTCTAATTTTTTATAAAGTTTTATTTCACTTTTTAACTTATTAAATAATAAGAGTATTAAAGGAGAACGGATCGTAAATGTCATGTGTCGCACGAGATTGTACTAGTGACTTTGGATAAGGCATTTCCCTATGTCATTGAATAAAAAAATTTGTACCTCTAAAATTTATTATTTTTGTAGATATTTTTATAATTTTTATGGGTATTTTTATGACAAAAAAATTTATCACTTTTGTATATGATTTTATCACTGTTGTAATAATTATTTTTACTAAAAAATTATTATTTTTATAAGTATTTTTATCATTATTATAATACCTAACTGTAATACACCCACAACATTAATATAAATATTAATATAAGTGATAAATATCTATATAAAATACATCCATAATATTAATAAAAATATTCATAAAAATAATAAATGTGGATATGGTACCAAAATAATACGTTACCACTTATAGGGATGTTAATTGTGTCGTGTCGTATCAGTTTTGAGACGTATCACTTTTGGTCGTGTTATTTTCGTGTCGTATCACTTTAGATATGTATCGGATTCGTGTTAATAAAAAATTATTTAATTTGATAACAATTAATATAATATTATTTAAAAAATTATAAAATTCTTATTTTCTATCTAAAATACTCATTAAATAATTATTTTCTATTTATAGTATCCGTTAATTATGTTATTCGTGTCAAATCTTAATTTGTCTTATTTATTATTCATGTTAACAAATCTTATTATTTTCGAATTCAAGTCGGATTCGGATTGGNTTTATAGTATCCGTTAATTATGTTATTCGTGTCAAATCTTAATTTGTCTTATTTATTATTCATGTTAACAAATCTTATTATTTTCGAATTCAAGTCGGATTCGGATTGGAGCAAAAAAATTGACACCCCCAACCACTTACCACTCGTACAATAGTCACCTATGTTTATGTTTCTGGAGTAGTACAAGGTGGGGTAAGGGCCACAAAAGCAGTCGTTGGGGGTGGATACGAGCGATGTGAGAGAGAACGTCGAGTATGAGACATGTGTGGGCTACACTTACGCGTGGCACTCATCCTCTGTAGCTGATTTGTGGACCTTTCATTGGACCGTGGGCCCAATTCTCACCAGAACGAGCTAGAAGCAATTTGTGACGGTGACTCGTGAATCACCATAACACTAGAACACTTGCGATTCATGTGTAAAAGTATTAATTTTTTTTTTCTTTCTTTCTAAGGTATCAAAATATGCATAAATATTAAAATTAATCTTTCTAAATCCATTTCAAACAACATACACATTATGGGGATTGTGCATCGGGAGTAGATCGATTAGTTCTCCACACACCTGCAAAATTTGTACAAAATTGATATAAAATTACTGAATTTAAATTTAATTTTAATAAATTTGGGTGATTAACATCTAAGTTGAACTGTTAAACTCGTTTAATTAATAGATTCACATGAATTTGGTTAAATACAATATAAATCTATTAAATACAATTTATATAAAATTAATGCATGATACGAGTTTTATATGAATTGATTTTATGCAATAATATGTGCGTCGAATATGAATTGCGTAAAAAAGAATTTATTAAGAGAGATGAAAGAGAAAATTGATGATGTTTAACTCAAAGGCAGGAGCCAGGTGCTTAAACTGAGAAGCTTAATGCCATGGAACAGTGATTGTGATAAGAACAATTAGTGGCAAAGCCTAGAGACTGTAGTATATTATAGGAAGCATAAAATAAAGGTACGAGTTAGAGAGTAAAAAAACGTAAAATATATAGTGGTTTATCAGCCGAAGAACTTGACTAATCCACTCAAATAGACCATCTTGACTCTTTGGGAATTTACTATTGCTTGAAGAAAAAGATAAAGTTTACAACCATTGAGATTTTGGTCATCCCCCCTATATCATGGATTACCTCTTATATTTATACTCACAAGTGAGGTGGTCATCAATTCATCATCAAATGGTCTCTAAGTTTGTTAAAATTTTATTAGGGGAATATTTGCCATTAGAGGTTACATTTTCGAGGTGTGACGTGATATTCTAAAACATGCTAAGGTGACATCGTGACTTATCTCCGAGCTTGGATACACTGTAATCTTCCATATTTGTGAGAGGTCATATTATTTGGGATGACCACTTATTTTTTAGGACAGCTCATAAATAAAGGAATTTGATCTATACTCTTTAATCTGAGCTAAAATACTGAACTTCTTTGTGAGATGATATGGACGACCTGATTACCCTTGCCTGAGGTCATACATGGACGACTTGTATACCTTTGCCTAAGGTTAGATGTGCAATTGGGTTAGACTTTGTTATTGAGCCTTGTCACAGACGAGATATAGAGATATCTTTCTATTTATTTTTTGTATTAGTTTTGGTATCATAAAAAACCATACATAGAAAGAAATGAGAATAAACTCATCAATAGATTGGTTTACTAACTCAATCTAATGATTCAGATATTTATCTAATATTATCCAATTCTTATCTATTTTGATTCAATAGGACAAAATTCACGTCAACTTTGTTCACATGTAAACACATAGTCTTTTCTCCACGACCTCCAATATTAAACAACTCAACCAACACATTCCCTGCATACCGAACAAACTCATTAATCCACATATACATCTCTGTCCTCTAACTCCTACCACCTTTTAATCCACCATGTTGTATGATAAATGTTTAATTTTTCTATTGCAGAATGTCTTCAAAACATGAGGTTTTTGCTAGTGCATTAAATTCTGACTAATTTTTCTTATTCAAGTTAAATCCAACATATTTTCTAACACAACAACTGATAAAAAAAAATTATTCAAAAAAATATTATTATTATTATTTAAAATTTTCCTATCGTACAACATTAGAGTTTTGGGCCATTATTTTTTTGTACCATATCTCCACATTTTATCCAATACAAAATAATATGTATAATTTTATTTTTTTTGTAATTTTCACAATTAATGACTGCATATGAATCAATCCAAGGTGTATAACTACAAATCAATTTCTTTATGATACTATCTTTTCATATACTTATCCTAGAATCATCAAAAATCTCAATTCTCAACCATAAAATGAGGGAAACTAATCTCTATTGGTCTGCAAATGCTACTATCATGCACATTGTTGCACTAGTGGTCCTTTCAAGCAAATGCATTGTGACCATGACTGAAGCATGAAACGTATGTAACAACTTTTTGAATTATTGATACCTTCTTAGTCTAAAGGGGTTCAATGACAAGTGTCATATACGCGTAAATGATATATCGTGACTATGAGTTTGAGAATTAGATTTTTTAAATGACAAATAAGATTGTTTTTCACTTACTTTTTTTTCGATCAACTATTTTTTTTTTAATCTAGGTCCAAAGAAGGGCCGATTC